CTCATTTCAGAAATGTTTTTAATTCGGCTTCCTGCAATAGATTATGAAAAAAAATATTTTAAATTTGAAAAGTCAGTTTTAGGTGGCCCAGTTGGGAAATTTTCACCCAGATGCGTATTTACCATTTCTTGGATCAATAAAAGCATTAACGAAAGCTCTACATGAAATTATCTATTATATACCTATATATAATGATCAAACGTTTCATAATCATAACTTATTGTACAGACTCTAATTCTCATTAGAATTGCCATATTAGAGGAAATAATGTTTTAATCTTCTCTTGATTTCACAACCATCACCTTTAGTAAAGAAAGATCCATCATCACCCTCAGTGTTCATGTCGCCACAATTTTAGTACCTACCACTCCACAGTGGCTTGAAATGAGAATTTACGGTTTATAATTCACTATAGGGACTTCAAATTTTGATGGATTTTGAAGTATATACTTCTTTTAATGACCATCATTTTTTTGTTAATTCTAAACTAGAAAGTCCTCTTAACCTATACTGAAAGACCTGCATAGGGTAAATCTGGGTATTACCGTGGGCGCGTGAATTTTTTGTGGTTTCTCTTTTTTTTTTCTATAAAAATTCAAAGCCGCATGAATTTCTCATGGAATTTTTATTTTCAAGTTTTTTATTAGAAATAATATTATTTCTTAGACGAATTTTCAATTTTCTTATTAAAATTTTAAAGATTTTCTTTTTATACAAAATTTTTACAAAACAAAATTTTTAGCTTTCAAATTTTTGTTTGGTAGAATTTTTATTTTATAGTCATTTTCTTTACATGACTTTTTATTTAAAATAATTTTAATTTCAACGAATTTTAATTTAACAGAATTCTCATTCAATTGAATTTTATGTGATTTGAATTTTTAAACGACAGAAAGTCCAATTCGCCGAATTTTAATTTTTGTTCAAATTTTTATTTGTACCAATTTTTAATTAATAAAATTTTTAAGACGCCGAATTTTCATTTGTCCTAAATTACAAATGGCCGAAAAAACAATCGACAGAAAAATTGCACCGAAATCCTCCTGTCAATTGTTTGTTCGGTCATTTTTAATTTCGGACAAATAAAAAATTCGGCGCCTTAAAAATTCTATCAATTAAAAATTACTAAAAATAAAAATTCAGACAAATTTTAAAATTCGGTAAATTGGAATTTCAGTCGTTTAAAAATTCAAATCACATTAAATTCGATTGAATGAGAATTCTGTTAAATTAAAATTTGTTGAAATTAAAATTTGTTGAAATTAAAATTTGTTGAAATTAAAATTTGTTGAAATTAAAATTCTCTTAATTAAAAATATACATGTAAATTAAATGACTATAAAATGAAAATTCTGTCAAAATAAAATTCGATAGCTAAAAATTTTGTTATGTAAAAATTCATAGGAAAAAAAAATTCTGTTTTCGTTTCTAATTGTATTAATTAAATATTTTAATTTATTAGGGACGATCCATAAAGCATGTGACACATACTTTTTGTAATTTTAACACCCACCCCCTTGTGATAATTTTTTCCTCTAATTTCCATTTTTTTTCAACATGTAATGTGATATTTTGCTGACACACCTCCTCTCCCTAAAATTTGGGGATGACTCCTTAATTTGATAGTTTCTTCATTCTTTTCTTCTTTATTATATATTTTATTTCAATTGTTTTCCATTCCATTTTTTTCCCAAAAATTGTCTTTGTTTTTTTATTACATTTATATGCTTATTCATTCGCTTTTGTTGCATTTTGTAATAAAAATTCCCTTTGATATTTTTCTTTAATTAATACTTAGTATTTCCAGGTTCCATTTTTATAATTTTTTGAAGTCTGATTTAATCAATTTATTCAAATTAAAAATTTTTTCATAGTTTTTAGTTTTAATGGTAAAAAAATTAATTAAACTTCAAGTGATTTTTAATTAAAATTTTTTGATGATTTCTGTTATTAAAAAATTTATTAGGAATTACAGACAAAAATACAATAATTTGAAAACTTATTAAGTGAAAAATAATTTCAGATAGTTGAATTTTTGAAGAATATTATAAAAATCATTAAAAATAATTGAATTTCAGGAGAGTTATAATTGAAATTATTAAATTTCAAAAAATTTTAGATGATAACTTTTAGAAGCATTTAAATTGAAATTTTTGAAAATAATTGAATTTCAAAAGATTGTGTTAAATTTTAGACAATAATTATTATAATAAGAAAAATTTCTATTAATTTCTGTTGATGAAGAATTTATTAGAAATCACATACAAAAATGGAATTACAAAAGTTTTTAATTGAAAAATGCTTTCAGATAATTGAATTTTCGAAGAATATAATAAAAATTATTAAAAATAATTGAAATTTTTCCGAATAATTAAATTTCAAGTGATTTTGAATTAAAAATTTTTGGTAATTTTATTTGCTAATTTTTTTAAAATTATAAACAATTATTAAATTTCTTAAAAATTTTAATTGAAAAATAGTTTAAGATAATTGAATTTGTGAAGAATTTCATTAAAATTATTAAAAATAATTAATTTAGTGAAGAATTTTAGTTAAATTTTTTTTAAATAATAGAAATAAAGAAGATCTGCATTATATACTAAGAAAAACGTATTTTGTTTACAAATTTTTTAAAACAATGTAAAAAAAGTCCAAAAAGTCGCATAATCCGAGGCCTGCCATTGGATCACTTCAGAAATTTTGTAACGTAATTAATATATAGTGAATAGTGAGATTTATAAAAATTGTTAATTTCAGAAATAATATACAAAAATAAATATAGATATAAAAATAATTGAAATTTTAAATAAAAAAAAATATTTAAAGATAATATATACCAAAAAAAGTTGAATGAAATCATATCAGGAAACTGTGAAAACTTCCGATTTGTATGTGCAAAGTCGAGGAAGTTATATAGATCGTTTGTTTTTTGAAACAACATTAAGCTATGAAAATTGTTGGCTAAATCGTTCGCACAATTTCCTGTCGAGAGATGAATAAATAATCATTCATACCGCAAACGTTGAATAATTTATGTTATTCTATAATAACTGTGAGCGATATGTTTATCGTTCTCTCTCTCTGAATATAAATTTATTTCCATCAGATATATTACAATTATTGTAATAATAAATTTTTGTCGAATATTTTATTATTGAAAGCTACTAAAGGCAATTTTTTATATTAAATTATATAATTATTATTACTTAATAATTAATAATTATAAATCATTTCTTTATTAATTCTAATAATAGAAATAATAATTTAATATTATTTCAAATTAGACACATGTTTAAAATATTTTTTTTATTCAATATAATTTACCCTGAGTATTTATTTATATATATGAGGCATTTCATATGAGAATAGGGGGTCATGTCTCAGAGTTTTCTCAAAATTCGGTAAATTTTAGTGATAGTGGTGCTAAATAAGAGTGAAAATTTTAAATTTGAAATATTTAATATTTTTCGAGATATTTACAATAACAAATTTGAGCAATATTTTTTTGCTTTACTTATAACTATTTTCCTATTAAAAATAGAGAAAAATGTTGTAAATGTTTTTTAAGCGGATGATCTTAAACTTTTAGAAAAAAATTATTTTTCAAAAAAATATTAATTTTGAAACAATTTGTTTAAAAAATAAAATTTGTTTATAACTTTTAAACATGTTCTCCCTCATTTAGAAACGCGAAAATAATCATGAATATTGTTTAAGTCATAATAAATCGATGGTTAAATTTTTGAGATGGCATTATTTTTTGTTTTCAAGATATTAATTAATTAACTAACAAAAGTTAATAAAAAATGAAATATTTTACGAACAAATAAAATTGGAGTAATTTTAAAAACGTCATTAGAATGCTTATCAAAATCCGCATCCAACGAGCCTTATATGAACTATTTTGGATAAACGGGTGTTAAATTAATAATTAATAATGAAAATTATTTAAATAATTAATAACATTTGAAGAAATGAAGATAAATCGTCAATTCTTTTTTTATTTGGAAGACCATCTAATTCTGTGTCAAAAAAAGAATATTAAGTATTACCAAGAATCAAAAATTAATTATAAAATGTTATTTAGAAAAAGACTGAAAAATACCATGCCGAGTAGGTAGGCAGCCCCCTCCAACTTGTGTCGTAGGGTGCTGAAACTTCAATTTTCAATAATCATCTGTTAATAATTTAGATTTGTTAAAAATGTTATTTACACTGGTTTTATTTAACACACAGAATTAGATGATCTTTCAAATAAAAAAAGAATTGACGGATTATCTTCATTTCCTTAAATGTTATTAATTATTTAAATAATTTTTATTATTAATTATTATTTTAACACCCGTTTATTAGAAGTAGTTCATATAGGACTCGTTGGATGCGGATTTTGATAAGCATTCTAATGGTGTTTTTAAAATTACTCTAATTTTATTTATTCGTAAAATATTTCATTTTTTATTAACTTTTGTTAGTTAATTAATTAATATCTCGAAAACAAAAAATGCCATCTTAAAAATTAAACCATCGATTTATTATGACTTAAACAATATTCATGATTTTTTTCGCACTTCTAAATGAGGAAGAACATGTTTAAAAGTTATAAACCAATTTTATTTTTTAAACAAATTGTTAAAAATTTAATATTTTTTTTGAAAAATAATTTTTTTCTAAAAGTTTAAGATCTTCCGCGTAAAAAACATTTACAACATTTTTCTCTATTTTTAGTAGAAAAAAAGTTATAAAGCAAAAAAATATTGCTCAAATTTGTTATTGTAAATATCTCGAAAAATATTAAAAATTTCAAATTCAAAATTTATACACTTATTTAACACCACTATCATTACAATTTACTGAATTTTGAGAAAAATTTGAGACATGACCCCATATTCTCATATGAAATGCCTCATATATGCTTTTTATGGGATTTAAAATCGCCTTTGTAATATTTTTCTCTTTTTAAATGCAGATTGATATCCAATCAGAACAGAGTCAAGACTTACTTTGCGATGGGATTTTCTACGCAAAAGCCCATGAGAATTGAAACAAAGAAGTTCTGAGACGCTCCTTCGAAAATTTCTTGTCATAAAACAGTACACCATGGGATTGAGAGCACTGTTTGCGTGTCCCAGAAATAGACAATATGAGAGCACGTCCGATATAGTTCTTCCTTCACCTGCAAAAGCATTTTCTTTTATCTTTCACTGTAACTTTTATTGGCTCGTCAAAAAATAAAAGAATATGTGAAAAGTAAATTTGAAAAAAAAGAATATATTGGTTTTTTCGCCATTGACATGAAAAAGTGTCTTTTTTGTGCCTGTTTTGGGCAGATAAAGTAGCACTTTTTAAGGCAGTTTGGGCCAACTGCCTAAAAAAGACTTTTTTAGGCAGCAAACTGCCGTATAAAGTCTTTTTTAGGCAGTAAACTGCCCTATAAAGTCTTTTTTAGGCAGTTGTTAATTTTTGCATAATTTTTTTTTTTGCTTTTATTTTATTTATCAATTTTTATTATTTTTTTTCTTTAAAATTGTTTCACTTTTTCATAACAATGGCGAAAAAAATAGCGTATGTGGCTCGCACGTAGTAATTTTTAGGTTCGGATGATTTCAATACTCGCTGTCTGTGCGACTTCGGTTCGACTCGGCTCGCTTTCGGCTCGACTCGACTCGCCTTCGGCTCGTCTTCATCTCACCTACAGCTCGCCTTCGTCTCACCTACGTCGCACTAACGACAGCTCGTACTGAAAATTACATCCTCACCTAAAAAGTACTACTTTACGTGCTTGCCACATAATATACTATTTTTATCATAAAAAATTTTTATACAACTTTTTTTTTATCATTTTTTTTCGTCTAATCTTAAAAAAATTATTACTATTAAAAAAAAATAGGAAATATATTGGTTATATAATTTTTATATATAGTGTTAAATATAACTCCTTGACATAACCTCAAATCGCGATTGTCTTTAAAAAGTGATAACTTTGTTAAAAATAATCGTAGAAAATTTTTTAAACAATTTTTCAAAAAAGATTATTAAATTTTTTTTGTAAAATGATTCTACGTTTAAGCTTTTTTGATGAACAGAAACGGAGATATGATGTGATGAAGACAGTTGTAATTTTCATTGTTCGAATTTGATGGACTGCAATTTCTAGACAAGTAAAAATGAAAAACAATGAATATTAAGTTGAATAAAAACTTACATTTTCAGCTTCAAAATAAACCTAAAAACACTTTAAAATATTGATTGATTATTATATTATGATTAATTTATTAAAACAATAATATGGAATATGCACGGACGATTTTCAATGCAGCAACACCACTGTTCGCTCCATGCGAACAACTGGATTCGCAGCTGACTCACAGGTTCGTAACATTTTACTTTTTTTAATTATATTATTTTAATTATTTATTATTATTATTATTATTTGATTTTACGTCAACATTTCTACGAAAATAATAAAAATAAATGAATTTAATACTTATTAACAGAATAAATAAATACGAACAGAGTAAAAACTCTAAATTTAATGGATTGCAATTTCTAGATAAGCAAATGAAATGAAATTAATAAATAAAAACTTACATTTTCAGCTTCAAAATAAGCCCAATAACACTTTATGACTAATTTATTAAAACAATGCACGAACGATTTTCAATGCAGCGACACTGGCGACACCACTTTTCCCTTGACTCGCAGCTGACTAACAGGTTCGGAATAGGCTAAAAGACTAGTGGCGCTTAACGGGGCACCAAAATTTGTCTCAAAATACTACGTTTTACTTTTTTTAAAACATTTTTTAATTATTTTATTTAAATAATTTAACATTATTTTGAATATAAATATTTTATTTTGCGTTAAAAAATTTCAACACTCAGATAATGAGAATAAATAAATTATACACTTATAATTGGAATAAATAGAAAATATAATAAAAAAAAGTAATAAGAAATTACAAAAAATATATTATTATAAAATAGATTAACATAATTTTTAAGATTTTTTATTAAATAATGAGATTTTATACTAGCTGCATACAAGCAATCTTCATCAAAGGGAATAAATACTTCGATGAAAAAATAATTTTAAAAATGTAATAATTTAAATAATTATATCTATCCATATTTTTTATTTTAGCCATTTTATTTATTTTTATTTTTATACATTTTTATTGATTTTTTAAATTTATATTTTACTTTGATTATTATTATTTATTTATTTAATTTGATGGTCAGTTAACAAACGCGTGAATTATAAATTGAATTATTTTAATAAATATTCTAAACCTAAAATTACTATGAAAAAATATAAATGTTCTTATTAAATAGATTAATTAATCAAAATATTATTCTAACCAATTTTTGCTCGCAATATTTTTAAACTATACGCTTAAAAAGTATTATTTATAATACTTTGATAATATTATAATTATATTTATATTATTTATAAGTATTTAATTTATTTATTTTTATTACCTATTTGTAAAATTTTTTAATTGAAATCTAAAAATTATGTTAATAATAATAATAAATAAAATAATTAAAAAAGTGAAATGTACTATTTTGGCAAAGATTCCAGCGCCCCGTTTAGCGCCACTAGCTTTTTATCCTATTACGGACCTGTCAGTCAGCTGTAAGTCGAGCGAACGTTGTCCACGAGTCGCAGAGTGAGTCGAAAAACTTCCGTGCAATATTAAAATAAATTAGTCATAACTCAATAACCAGTGAATATTTAAAAGTGTTCGTAAACTTATTTTAAAGCTAAAAGTTCAAGCTGTTATTTATCTTAATATTAATTTTTATATAATCGTCTCGAAATTACAGTTCATCATACTTGAACAATGAAAATTTACAAAATCAGACAATTTCACCTTGTCTTTATCACATCATATCTCTGTTTCTATACATCACAATAACTTCACTACAGGATCATTTTACGGTAAATATAATAATCTTTCTAAAAATTGTTTAAAAAAACTTTTTACGATTATTTTGAACAGATTTATTAAATTTTAAAAACTGTGTTTTTAATAACATTTTGGTAAGTGTTCGCATAATTTTGATCGGTTGTGCGAAAAAATTGTTTTTATCGAGAAATAAAACTAATTAAAATTAATTTCACTAAATGTTGAAAAGATGAATAAAGAATAAATACTTCGATGGAAAAATAATTTTAAAGATGTAGGTAATAATTATCCATATTTTTTATTTTAGTCAGTTTATTTATTTTCATTTTATACCTTTTTATTGATTTTTTAAATTTATATTTTACTTTGATTATTATTTATTTATTTAATTTGATGGTCAGTTAACAAACGCGTGAATTATAAATTGAATTATTTTAATAGATATTCTAAACATAAAATTACTATGAAAAAATATAAATGTTCTTATTAAATAGATTAATTAATCAAAATATTATTCTAACTCATTTTTGCTCGCAATATTTTTAAACTATACGCTTAAAAAGTATTATTTATAATACTTATAATATTATAATTATATTATTTATAAGTATTTAATTTATTTATTTTTATAAACCTATTTATAAATTTTTTTAATTAAAATCGAAAAATTATATTAATAATAATAATAATAATAAATAAAATAATTAAAAAAGTGAAATGTACTATTTTGGCAAAGTTTCCAGCGCCCCGTTTAGCGCCACTAGCTTTTTATCCTATTACGGACCTGTCAGTCAGCTGTAAGTCGAGCGAACGTTGTCCACGAGTCGCAGAGTGAGTCGAAAAACTTCCGTGCAATATTAAAATAAATTAGTCATAACTCAATAACCAGTGAATATTTAAAAGTGTTCGTAAACTTATTTTAAAGCTAAAAGTTCAAGCTGTTATTTATCTTAATATTAATTTTTATATACTCGTCTCGAAATTACAGTTCATCATATTTGAACAATGAAAATTTACAAAATCAGACAATTTCACCTCGTCTTTATCATATCATATCTCTGTTTCTATACAACACAATAACTTGACTATAGGATCATTTTATGGTAAATATAATAATCTTTCTAAAAATTGTTTAAAAAAACTTTTTACGATTTATCAAATTTTAAAGACAGTTTGTGTTTTTAATATAGCTTTTTTGGTAAGTGTTCGCAAAATTTTGACCGGTTGTGTAAAAAATGGTAAAAAAATAATAATGAAAATATTTTATCGACAAATAAAACTAATTAAAATTAATTTTACTAAATGTTGAAATAATTTTGAGATTATGTAAATGGATTGAACCTGATTTATGTGAAATAATTAGTATATAGTTTTGATTAAATTTGTCAGCTATTTTTATAATATTAATTAAGATCGCTATAAGATATATAGGTATGTGCCATTCCATAAATTTTTTAGCACTTTTCGGAGTAACCTTTCCAAATTAAATAAAACATTTTTTTATAATATTTATTAACATAAAGATCGAAAATAATCACTTTTTAAGTAAAATAATTTTTTATTTAAAAAATATAACAATAAATAATGAAAAAAATTCACCTTTTTTTCTGCACCATCAAATAAATTGGTTTAAAGATCAAAATTTTCCTTATTTTTCAAGCTTTCATACCGCACAAGAAAAATGACATGTTTCGAAATAGTTAACTCACAATTTATTAAACAATTTTTTGTTTTCTTTTTTTTATTTTATTTATTGTGAAACATCTGCTATTGCTGCGCGCGACGTTCGGAAGTTGTCGCTCTCGTTATTGAACAGAAGCTCATTACACTAGCGTAGTAGAAAGCATGTTTTGCGAAAAGTGAGGTTATGTTGTCATTGAATGAAACATACACATTTCTGGTTATCACATTGAATGGTTTTTAATTATATCTACTTTGCAGTAAAAAATCATAAAAAAAACATTTTTGAAGGATGAAAAACCTCACTTTTTACACAACATGTTTTTTACTACGCTAGTGTAATGAGCTTTTGTTCAATAACGAAAGCGACCCATTGCGAAAGTCGCGTGCAGCGATAGCAGACGTTTAGCAATAAATAAAATACAAAAAAGAAAATAAACATTGTTTAAGGGTATGTGGGAACCTCCCACGTGATCTAGTATGGGAAAAAGTGTTTTGATAGTATATATCTTACTCTAAAACGAGAAAATATTTTTGTTTAAAATTTTGAGGGATGATAGATTTGGGTACAAGGAATTTCGCTGTTTTCCGAAAAATAGATAATTTTGCGTTAAATTATTAAAAAATAAAGTTTAAAAAGTGGCATTTTTAAACGAAAATGAAAAGAAACATGGCGGCGTATATACAGACGTTGCTTAAGGCCAGGTCCAAGTGAGGCAGCGCCATCTACATTGAAACTAAAATTTTGGAAAATTTTCAACAGCCTTTTCTTGAAAACAAGAATGTAAAATGCTTTTTCCTTTATGGATAATTGATTATTGGCAAGATATACACCAGCTAAAACTTTTTTTTGAGTTAAAATAATGAAAAAAATTTCATGTCGATAAATTAAATATGAGCAGTTTTTCTCACAATAACTGTAACAGTACTTTCTCAAAAATTACAATCAAAAATACAATTTCCATTTTGAAAATTAATAAACGCTAAAAAATACACGACCTAAGATTTACCAATCACGAAAATAATAAAAAAAAAGTTTTTTAACATAACATATTTTACTCATTATGACAGCCGTTTGGCAGGTTATGTATGTCACCAGACGTTTCGCGGTTTTGCCGAAAGGAGGAGATTGGCGCTGTTGCTAACCACCTGAAATACATAATTTACCAAAGGGCTGTCACAATCAGTAAAGCAGTATCAATATGTTAAATATTTAATAAAAATTTTTTTTTATTATTTTCGTGATTGGTAAATCTTAGGTGGTGTATTTTTTAGCGTTTATTAATTTTCCAAATGGAAATTGCATTTTTGATTGTAATTTCTGTGAAAGTACTGTTACAGTTTTTGTGAGAAGAAGTGCTCATATTTAATTTATCGACATGAAATTTTTTTCATTATATTAACTCAAAAAAAGTTTTAGCTGGTGTATATCTTGCCAATAATCAATTATCCATAAAGGAAAAAGCATTTTACCTTCTTGTTTTCAAGACAAGGCTGTTGAAAATTTTCCAAAATTTTAGTATCAATGTAGATGGCGCTGCTTCACTTGGACTTGGCCTTAATTATTTCGAAACATGTCATTTTTCTTGTGCGGTATGAAAGCTTGAAAAATAAGGAAAATTTTGATCTTTAAACCAATTTATTTGATGGTGCAGAAAAAAAGGTGAATTTTTTTCATTATTTATTGTTATATTTTTTAAATAAATAATTGTTAAAAATGATTAATTTGGACCTTTATGTTAATAAATATTATAAAAAAATGTTTCATTTAATTTGAAAAGGTTACTTCGAAAAGTGCTAAAAAATTTATGGAATGGCACATATAATAAAAAAATAATTGGCTAAATTAAAACTTACTAATTACTCCTAAGTCGACAAGCAATCTTAGAACATTGTAAGGTAACCAACAAAGAGCGAAGAGAATTGCAAGTATGAGTAAAATCCAAGCCACTCGTCTTCTTTCACGAACTAGTCGGAATCCCTGTTGACAAAGAAAATTATTTACTGGCGCTCTCATTCTCTGCATTGATTCACAAAAGCTTTTATTTTACTTTACAGATTCAATTACAGTGTGACGAGAGAAAATATTTTCTTCAATTTTGTAAGTTTTTTTTTTTTTTTTTTTTTTGAAGAAAAGTAAAATTAGTTTTTTTTTTATTTTTTGGTTATAAGAAACAAACTTGATCACATTTATGATTATCGAAATATTATAAATTTAGAATAATTATTTTTTCCAATTTTTTTTTTTAAATAAATTTTTTTTATTTATTTAAGAAACATATTTTTACTACTTAGTTAAATTTTACAAATAAGTTAGTGAATTTTTTTTTTTTTTTTTACTAAAATTGATTAATAAAATTTAATTAATTTATTGCAAGAAGTCAGTCACTAATTTAAACGAATTCAAATTAGTTAAAAGTTTTACTAATACAAATTTAGAGAGATCCTTTCATCTCAAATTAAATTTTATACCTATACCATTTTTTTCAGAAGTTTTACATTAACATGAGAATCTGTATAAACAATATATATGTAAAGTTAAATATGAAGTTAATAGATACAGAGAACTGATTTTCAATAGTTCATGTTTGTATAATATATTGGTACATATAGAGAACATGCTTCGAAATATGCATTTCACGTTTCTTTTAAATAATTTACAAATATGTATTGAATTAATTTCAAAGATTTATTTTACTTTCCATTTATATAATTATTATTCACAAATTTTAAAGTTAATGAAAATCTTTTAAAAAGGAATTTATTCATGATTTTTTCGCTTTTCAAAATGAGTGAGATCATGTTTAAAAATTATAAACAAATTTAATTTTTTAAATAAATTGTTTAAAAATTAATATTTTTATTTTTAAATAATTTTTTTTCTAAAAGTTTAAGGTCTTCTGCGGAAAAAACATTGTTAACATTTTTCTCTTATTTTAGTAGGGAAAAAGTTATAAATAAAGCAAAAAAATATTGATCAAATTTGTTATTGTAAATATCTCGAAAAATATTCAAAATTTAAAATTTGAGACGCATGAGTATTCCCTTTATTAGACTTGATGGAATTTTTGTAGTGTCAGATTAAAAATTATCGAATTTCTATACAATCTAACTTTAATTAAGTAGAATTGTCATTTAATAGAAATTCTAATTAACTAAATTGTTGAGACAGAGATATTCTATTTCCCCGATACTTCATTTGACAAAAGTTTCACTTATTCGAAATTTCATTCAATAGAATTCTTAAAATGTCGAAATTCCATTTGAACGAACTTTTTTATTGGCGATTCAAACAGCTACACTAGCGCCACAGTTGAACTAATTTAGGCGTGACTCGCTCTGTAGCACTCCATGTGTTTTAAATTATTTTTTTTTATTTAACGCTTAAAAATAATTTTACAAACGCAATAAAAATATCAGAATAATTAAATAATTTGAAATAAACTGTCAAAACAGAGACTGCTTTAGAGCGAGTCACGCCTAAATTAGTTCAACTGTGGCGCTAGTGTAGCTGTTTGAATCGCCAATATCAGATTATCCACTTGGTATACAAATTTCAGCGGGAGTTTTAAAATCAACCAATCACAATTTTCTTAATAATGTTTGATTTGTTGATTTTAAAACTCCCGCTGAAATTTTATATACCAAGTGGATAATCTGATAAATAAGGGCGCACTCACACCTTTTGGCTGCCTGCCTGCCTGCAGGAGTTGTCATGGCAACGTGTAGGAGTAACAGAGAGAGAAAATTCAAATTTGAATTTACTATCTCTGTTACTCCTTCACGTTGCCATGACAACTCCTGCAGGCAGGCAGGCAGCCAAAAGGTGTGAGTGCGCCCTAAAAGTTCGATCAAATGGAAATTCCACGTTTTAACATTTCTATCTTATGAAAATTGGGATAAGTGAAACTTCGGCCAAATAAAGTATCAGTGAAATAGAAATTCTCTGTCTTAAAAATTTAGCTAAGAAAAATTTATGTTAAATGACAATTCAATTAAATAAAAATTAGATTGTATATAAATTTTTTGAATAAAACTTTTGTTATATAGAAATTTTTTTAGTTGGAAATTCTGTTAATAAAAATACTTTTAAGTGAATATTCGGATAAATAGAAATTCGATAAAAGAACAATTCTGATAAATAAAAATTCTATTTTTATGGAAATTTTTCAAGATATCAATTTTGTTAAATGGAAATTGTATTATTTAAAAATTCGATATATTAGAAAATCAGCTTTATCACAGTCCAGTTAAATAGAAATTCTATAAAATCAGAATTTTGTTAAATAGTAATTTTTCAACATTAAAATTTGGCTCATTATAAAATCTCTTTTTTAAAATTCTACTAAATGTAAATTCGATAATTTTTAATTTGACACTACAAAAATTCCGTCAAGTTTAATGAAGGGAATATTCATGCGTCCCCAAAATTTGTACACTTATTTAGCACCACTATCACTACAATTTACCAAATTTTGAGAAATATCCGACACAGAAAAAACTTAGTCTCATTTTTGTTGCAACTCAAAATGAGCCAATGCTAAACGACATAGACAGTGGCGCCACCAACGTGGCTCATTTTTATTGCACTTCAAAATGAGTAGCGTACGCTACTCATTTTTAGACCAAGTTTTTTCTGTGGAGACATGACCCCGTCTTCCAATAATAATTAATAATATAATTAATTAATAATATAAAATATTTATACTAATTTTTAAACTTTATTGTAATGTTATTCATATATTTATTCACAAATTATTATAGAAGCAATATGAATATTTATAATAAATATGAAAAAAGTTACAAGTTATTAATATCGTGTTATAAAAAATATTTTCTTATTTTTTATGTTTTAGATACTTTTCTTAAAAGTTCCATTTTACACGTGAATCAACTTTCTTCATTTCGAACTTGATGAAAAGTTGATAAGCTTTGGAGGAGTCTTGATTTCAATTTTCAAAGTAAGTGTATATTAAGCTAAAGAAACTGTTTTTCAAAGTAATTATTTAAGACTTTTAGAAGATAAAGAAGAAATTTTCTTCAATTAATTATTATTATTTGTTTTAAAAAAAATATTTAACCCATTTTTTCAAAAATTAACTAATTGATTAATTATTAATTAATTTATTTATTATGTTTTATTTTTAACCTCCTTTTTTGAAGAATTTTTCATTTACGTTTTAATGCTTAAAAAAAGTTTTTTCAACAAAAATTATTAAATCCATTTTTTTTCAAAATTAACCCTTAATATATGAAAAATACTTTATAAAAATCCTATTTTCAAATTAAAATTCTTAAAGTTTTATTACAGTTATACGGCTTTGAAAGTAAAAGTGTTACTTAAAATATCAAATTTTCAACCCCCCCCCCCCCTCTTTACTTTCTATAATTTTTTTTTAAGTTAGCTATTATTTAAGGGATTTTTTACTTTTATGTAAAACAAAAATTTACCGAAGTATTAAGTAGTAGTAGTAGTAGTTTTTTCTCAGAGAATGCCTCATCCAGGCATTAATTTAAAATTAAATTAAACTTTTAATTTGAGTCATGATTTTTGTAATTGCTTTGTCCGAAAATTTAAATTCATTTTTGAAAATTCAACCCTTTGAAGCATACATTTTTCATTAACAGAAATTTATCGCTCCAGTGCACAATAGGGGGTTTTATGGGTCGCTGATTACGAATCTGAAGTCAGATTTTTCAAATTTTCAAAATTCAATATAGCGGATCCAATATGGCGGACAATTTTTTTTAAACTGATCAAATCCGCTCGAAACTGATTACTCGGGGGTTTTCGGGGTTGCTGATTTCGAATCCGATACCAGTTTTTGAAAATTCAAAATGGCGGATGACAAAATCAAAAATTGATCGGATTTGCCTTAAACTTGTTACTCGGGGGTTTTTGGGGTCACTGATTACGAATATGATATTGGAGTTTTGCAATTCAAAAATTTTTTTTTTCATTTTGTCATCCGCCGTATTAGATTCGTCATTTTGAATTTTCAAAAACCGGTGCCAGATTCGTAATCAGTGACCCCGAAAAGCCCCGAGTAACAAGTTTCAGGCAAATCCGATAAATTTTTCATTTTGTCATCCGCCATATTGGATCCGCCATTTTGAACTTTTTAAATCTGACATCGGATTCGTAATCGGCGACCTCAAAAACCCCTGAGTAACAAGTTTCAAGAGAATTAAATTAAATTTTTAAAAAGTCGTCCGCCATATTGGATCCGCCATTTTTAATTTTTTTTATATGTGCCACTTTTGCTTTTATTATTATTTTTTTTTTAAATGACAAAGTGCTGTTAAATAATGAATCCGGTTAAAGTGAGAAATCTATTGCAAGTTTAGTGAATGGATGAAGAGACAATTTCATCGTTTATCGGTAAAGTTATACTCGGGGTTACTATTGAACATAACCTCACCTTAAAAATACAAAATGTATATTAAATATTATTTAACAACAAATTTCAATTCAAAATAATTCTTTGATATCAGGTCAAAGAATTTGATTCAGAAGCTGCAAGTTCCACAAATTTTAATGCAAATAAAACTGGTGATATGACCTACGGAAATCTGCTATCGATTATTTTAAAAGGCGAAGAAACTGAACAAATTGTATTAGACGGATCAAAGCTTTGTTAATAAAACAAATTGTATTGCCGATTTAACAATTTAGTTTTGTTATTTCAACTGTTTTATAATAATTTTCTTTGTTCTCTCTAAATATGAATCAGTGAAAAAGTCAATGGTCTCAAATCAGTCGCTAAATTCTAGCTATTTGAATCAGTGTTTTTCACTGACAGTTAGTGACATTTCACTGGAGAATCAATTACTTTGACTGAAAATCAGTGAAATGTTTCTGATTCAAATAGCTAGAATTTAGCGACTGATTTGAGACCAGTGATTTTTTCACTGATTCAAATTTAGAGAGTTCATCGAATTATGTTTGTTCACCGATCAATCCGAATAGTTTTAATAACAATCCCATTTTAACAATTTTTTTTGTCTCAAAAACAAATAGAACTGCTGGTTCTATATTGACAATCCGGAATTGTTGTGTGGACTTAATTTTTAGTAACCACAACAATTCTTTTTTCTCCGTGTAACTTTTAATTTTAACCTAAAAAGTCACATTTTATTCTACAAAATAAATACCTTTTTTGCGAGTCCTACTGTTAATGTAATTTTTTCCTTAAAGAATATTACATAAAGAGTATAACCTTAAATGTTGAAGTCATAATATTAGAATTTAAATAACTCATGAATTTTTAAGTAAAAACACGCAATTTTTCGTTTTTATTTTTCACAATTTTTTTTTAACTAACTTAAAATAAATTAATCCCTGTAAAACTAATGACACTTTAAAAAACACATCATATGCTACCTTAGACTAAATTTTTGTGCAAAAATATTCAATACCGGCTGTATATGTTTGAATACTTCGGGTCCAGCAGACCCTTTGTGGCATTTACGTTCGAACGCGGAATTTTGCCAGTTAAGGGTTAAATACATTTTAAATGAGTAAAAATTTACAAACACTTGATTTGCCAATGTCACAACATTTATTTTACAGAATATTTATGTTCTTAGCATTATTAACAGTAATAATAAAAAATAATATAAAATCCACATTTTTTTTTTAATATTTGAGCAATAACTATGAATAATCTGTAATATCTAATATATATGAATGCAAAAGCTTTAGAAAGTATAAATTTACGCTCTAGTAAACTGTGCATCCTTCCTCCCAAGGTGATTAAATATATATATTTGGCATATCTAATCTTGTCAACTGGCTGAAATTTAATATTTGTCGAAAATTTCAGTATAATACTGTACTTAAAGTATTTACATATCAATGAATCGACTTCAAGCCGAATTAAATTTTTATATATCTCAAAATGCGGTGCGAGTGTTTATCTATCTTTTTTTTCAACTGACAGAAATGAAAGATTCATTTCGTCCATTAATCTTGAAAGGATTCTCTTACGCTTGAGATCTCGCACGAACGCACAAAATATCAAATCAGTTTTTTTTTCTTTTTTTTTTGATTTATTATGGACATAAGAAAAACTTGCCAAAAAATAATGTTTTCGTGAATCGTACAATCAGCACTTCTTATGAATTTTTTTTCTCTTCTTTTATATTAATTTTTTCCCATTATTATTTTATCTATTTAATATAATTAAAGTAGAAGCAACGTTGCACACATTTCTATTATAGAAGAGTATTTGAAATAATTGTAAAATATTTATAAAAACAAGGGATATCTTATTATTATTATTATTATTATTATTATTATTATTATTATTATTATTATTACTGTTATTAATATTATTATTATTATTATTATTATTACTATTATTGATAAATATTTTTGCTATAATAATAATTATTATTGTAATTTAAGCTTTATGTTTAAAATATTATAAAATTTTTATTTTTATAATAAGATTTTCCATAATTGAAATTAACGGTTTGAATATCATTAAATTTTGAGGACTAATGGCAAAAAAATGTGAAGAATACTATATATATATATATAGGGATGGAGATAATTTCGTAAAACCAATAATGACATTTCATTGGTGAAAGCGTGAGATTCAAACGCTTTTCGTTAGTAGACAATATTAAAAGTTCGGACATTTTCATAGTAAATGCATCTAAATTCCAATGCTATTAACTTTTTTCCCGTAAAAGAAATGCTTTTAGTCACTTTTTCTATAATAATTGCGTCATTTTAATGATATTTTACTTATTATAACTATTTTTATAGCTCATTTTTCATTACTTTTTTTTATATAAGTTTATATTAGGGAAATGTAGTCATGAGTGTACCACTTCCTAGTTTTTTTTTATGTAAAATAAGTCTGGGCATAAAAATGTTTAGTCTAATAGATGTGCATTGTCTCAAAACTATTTTTAGTGAAATTCGAATATTTGTATTCAGAACAGGTGATTGAGAAAATAACCTATTAACGCGAAGTAGCGAAAAAGTTTTGTGTGATCTCATTTTCCAAGTGCTTCAAAATAGTATCTCTTTGATATTTTTGATTCAAAAAATTTCTACTCGAAAAAATTCCATCTATTTTCATAAGTCGACCACTCTGTTGAGTTTGACAATTTGACAATTTTACAACATAATCTTTAAGATCTCAGCTTTAATTTGCTTTTTTGAAACTTAAAAAATGTTTTGTGCTTCCTGAAATATGTTAAAAAAAGTCCGAGCATATTTTTCATTATTCTAGATTATGCCGGAAGTGAAAAACATTAGTACGAAAGTACAAAAATTGCAGAATTTTTTCTTGAAATCTTTTCGGTGTTATAAATACCAAAAAAAAGAAAAAAATTTTCTTGATATACATTCAGAAGTAAAATTTTATCAGCTTTGCAACCATCTAAGTTAGAAACCTCTAACTTTTTTCTAACTTAAAATATCTTGCTTTAAAGTCCGCACCAAATTTCCACTCCTCGCACGTTAATCGTACCGACAATTTCCGACGATAGTGTATATAATACTTTTGATCGAAAAACAAAACCCGGTATACAACTTCCCACTCTTCCCTACTAAATAAAATTTTTTATGTCCCTGAAATGGCATTGTCAAATAATATTAAAACTATTTGTCGTTTCAGACATTTTTTTATACATATTTATCTTCTTTTAAACTAAAAAAATATTTAGTGGATAATGAAAATTTAATTGAGCGTTTTTGTAATTTATTTATATATATAGGTATATATATATATAAACATAATGTAGAATAATGATTTTCAATAAGATTGTATAAGGACCCTCTTGGTTTTTAGTGAAATAAAATAAATATTTGAACTCACTTGTTGAGAGCTGGCACTTCCCTCGATACTGTCACAATCGAAGGGTGGCTTCCTAGCACAAAGGGTTCGGCCCATCATCGAATAAGAGATGATGACAATGAAACCTGATGTTATACAATTAACAAAATTAATTGCTTGATTATAATTTAATTGATTTTATAATCACCTCTACGCATGTAAATTTATTATACTCACCTGGTATTGCATAAACCAGAACAAAACAAACAGCACCAAAAATATGGGCATGAATTCCAAATGGTTGAATTGGCTTAAAATCTTCTGAACATACATAAAATTGTTGTGGTTTCACTGATTGAGTGTCATTCTTATTGGCCCATTGACCAATGAGAGTGATATTATCCAAATCAGTTATTGGATTTTGTAGAGTTACCTTAAACAGAGAATTTTTAATTTACCATTATAATTATGAAAAATTAGTAAACAAAATTTTTTAAAATTATTTTATATCATATACAATTACAACCCCTATTATTTTCCAGTTTAATGATTAATTTTTTTAAAAGCTTGCAAGTATTAAAATTATTAAAATTTTTATCTTTATTTTGAGATTATGTTCGTTTCTTGGTCAGGGGAATTTGAAGTTATGTGAAAATCAATAGAATCATTTAAGAGTGAAGATTTTAATGCTACCATGGAACAAAAACTGAATTATTCTGTAAACATAAGGGATCATGCTTCAAATAATCTTGACAATGAACCAACCTTGTCGACTGACCTACTTCAGATCGTCTCTTATTTTCTTGTTCATATCCAACAAATATTTTTTTTTACATGCGTTGACTTTTGAAGATTAGTGTTTTTTATTTAATGATTTAAAATGTGTTGTGAATAATTAAAAATGAATTCAATAATCAATGAAGGCGAATATATTATATGGTAATATATATTTGTCTCACAGCCTACTAGCTCATTTATTTGGCGTAAATAAAATTTTTTATTTAAATCAAATAAATATTTATTAGGCTGTGAGACAAATATACCATTTTTCTGAGTGTACGACTGCAATATTGCAGAAATAATAGAAATATTTAAGTAATATTGACAATATTGCTGCAATTTTAGGTGCTGTGATAAGTTGAATTGAATTTTTTTACTTAATGTTTTTAAATCAACAAAAATTATCGTAAAATGCACTAATTACGGCGCGATTCGAGTCCGCCTTTGAAATAGAAAATTCGACATTTCTATTGTGTAAAGTCAATTTAAGACTTATTAAATTAAAAGGTCATGTTATTTAGCACTTACCCTAGAAATTTTTTTTAGCGATTTTTAAAAAGATTATTAAATTTTTCGTAAAATGATTGTTTTCTTTTTTTGTTCATAACAAATAAATTATTTTTCCAGGTTCTTGACTTGAAAATGAATTCAACAATCAATGAAGTTAGAGATGTGGCAAACATGCAAATTCATTTCATCAGAAAACAGAAAAAGTAAGTTGAACAGAATTTTTTAGGTTATATGTTTTTAAATCTATATAAGATATTTAATTTTGTGCGCAGATATTTTATAAAATTATGAATATTTTTTCTTCTTTTTTTTATGTAACTTGATCTAAAACTTTATGCTTTACATATGTGGCCGTCCATAAACTACATTACACGAAGAAAAATGAAAAAACGAATAAAGTAACTTTGACTACTTTAAAAGTAAAACCGAAATTGTCCGCAGTTTCTGCGTATTTCTGTTAATTTTTACTCTAGAAATAGTAAAATTGACTATTTCGGGAATAGTTTTTACTATTTCAGGAGTAAATTTTACTATTTCTGGAGTAAAAATTGACAGAAATGCGCAGAAACTGCAGACAGTTCTGGGTTTACTTTTAAAGTAGTATAGGGCTGCTCACGAGACTGAGACCAACATTACCGCTAACCGTAATTATTGAAGACATCATGTTTATGTAGGTACTTTAAATGACAAAATGGAAAGAACAAAAGTTGACGAAATTTTAATAAAAGCTTTCAAAGCAACTCGAAAGAAAATTGTCAAACGCTATCAAAAAACAAATTGGGTTTACTGTGCTGCTTTAGTTATAGATCCTCGGCACAAAGTAGAAACTTTCGCTTCTACAAAGTGGGGCAGAGAATTTGAAAGAAGTTTCAATTAAATTTTTTGAGGAAATTTATAAAAAATAATTATTGTAATATTATTTCTGAAAAAGTAACGAAATGGACGATGCACGAAATACAGAACAAAACAGTGAAAGTATTTTTGAATGCGAAACTATCAATCTAAATTCTATTTTGAATTCTATTTGGCACTATAAAGAGCAGATAAAAAACAAAACATTTTAGAATGGTGGAAAGGAAAAGACCAATAAATAAACATTTATATTATGTACATACAATGTTTTATTTTATCAGTGATTTTAAGGTTTAGACTAGACGAGACCATAATTATAAAAGCGAGACCGAGACGAGACTAAGCTTGACAATATCAAGACGAGACCAGTAAATTTTCATTTTTTCGAGACCGAGACAAAACTAACTAAAGTCTCATCTCGTCTCGTGCGCAACCCTATAAAGTAGCAAAAGTTTCTTTATTCGTTTTTCAATTTTTTTACGTGTACCAATTTTTCATTCCCTTTAGACCCTCCCCCCTAAAATACACTGTGCAACAGATTTTCATTTTTTTATTTTATTTCTGAGACAGCATAGGGTGATTCTTATAGGTTTTTCGACGCTGCACACGAATCCGTAATCAGAATTGCTCCATCACCCTAGGTTTTCGAGAAATTTGACCTTGAAAATTGAAAAAATGCCGTTTTTAGGGTACTTTTTGATTTTTTATTACGGTACCAAAATTTTTTCTGAGGTTTTCATGATATGCATATGAAAGCTGATATCCTCCTTAACATGTTCCAATTTTGATCTTTAAAAAATATCTTTTTTTGGATGAGTTATCCTCATTTGAAATTCGCGTTGCAACGTGAATCGGGATTACAGTGCAGGAGGCGTATAAAAAAATGGTCCAAAATTCAAATGTATTTTAAATGTTTTGAAACTTGTTACTTGGGGGTTTTCGGGGTCGCTGATTACGAATTCGAGGTCCGTTTTTGAAAATTCAAAATGGCGGATCTAATATGGCGGACGACTTTTTCTAAACTCGATCGAAATGGCCTGTAACTTGTTACTCGGGGGTTTTTGGGGTAGCTGATTATTTATTAGATCCGCCATTTTGAATTTTTAAAAACGGACCTCGAATTCGTAATCAGCGACCCCGAAAACCACCGAGTAACAAGTTACAGGCCATTTCGATCGAGTTTAGAAAAAGTCGTCCGCCATATTAGATCCGCCTTTTTGAATTTTTAAAAACGGACTTCGAATTCGTAATCAGCGATCCCTAGTCTTATATTCTTGATTGAATACTTTTTGGTACTTCGGGAAAATAAAATATTGAGTTGCGATAATAACATATTTACTTCTGCCAAATACTAAATTCTTAATTCAAGAACTATGCGTTAATCAAGTTAAAACAATTATTTACTTATATTAATATTCGCATTTTTTTTGACTCAAGACTATATTAGCGTTGAATTAAATAGAAAATATTTTCAAGAAAACAAAAGAAAGATTTCATTCAAGATTATATCACTATTTCAACTGAAAAAATAAATTATTTTATTTAAGATAATATAATATTATTTCTAGAAATTGAATGTTCTTGAAACAATATAAGTAATATGAAAATGCTTCAAGTATATTAAATACTTGGATTGATTAATGTTTAATTTAAACAATATATTTTTCAATCAAGTTAAAACAAGTATCTACTTCTATTAATCTTTCTATTTTCTTGGATCAAGACTATGAGTGTTAGATTAAGTAAAAAGTTGTTTTGAAGGAAACAACAAAACGATTTGACCCAAGAAAATAAAATACTCAACGAGAATCACTTGACATGAGAAAAATAATATTCTTGACTCAATACTTTTTCGGTTCTTGACGCAGGTAAAACAGTTCACTTGAAACAGTAAGATATATTTACTTGTATGAAACTCATATTTTCTTATTTTAAGAACATTGCTTAATGCTCAAAATTACTTGACTCAAGAAAATAAATTTCTTATAATAAGAAAATATCGTCTTGTTTCAAGTAAAGTACCTTAAGTAAATGCATTTACTTGATTCAATTAACTTTTGTTTTTCAGTGTAGCTTTGGAATTCGAACTTTAGATACCTAATACCTAATCGGTGACATAATTTTTAAGGGAAAGGGAAAGGGAAAGTTCACAAATGATATCACGCACTGAGGACGGAGGGGAGATCTTTGCTAAACGTGACACAATGTATTTTTTCTATAAGAAAATATAGTAAAATAGCGTGACGGGGGGTGGGTGGTAGGGGTTAACAATCTTTAAAAAGTGCGTGACATCATTTGTGAACGCTCCCTAATCTATAAATTTTAAAATTCAATTTAAGACGTGTAATGAAGAATTTTAATACCCAAGCAAAAATTTACAACCGGCGCAGTGTTGCACCAGTACTGGCAAAGTACTGACCGCCAATATTAAAGCAATACTGGCATATGTTTGGGATGATAATGTTTATCAGTATTGGTCATTAGTAATGGCTTAGTACTGGCGTTCAGTACTGGTTCAATACTGGAATTTAGCAGTAATTATGTATAATTTCTGTATTTAATTTCTAACCAACAAATACACAATTTTCAAACAAAGATACACAATTTTCACGTCTATGAAGTTGGCGTCGACGCTCAACATCGAAAATTATTTTTCACGGGACCAAAAATAACAAATCATTTTTAAAAAAGTTTTGGGTTCACATAATACCTTAAAAAGTATTTCTTAAGGCATTACATATTTGGACCGAAAATCTTTTTAAAAAAGTAATTTGACATTTTTGGTCCTGTGAAAAATAATTTTCGGCACTGACCGTCAACGCCAACTTCATGGAGGTCAATTTTGATAATTTTTCTGGATACTGGGATTCGGTATTGAATTAATACTGACCGAGTACTGGTTTGCCATTACTGTCTCAATAATAATGGCACAGTATTGGAAAATACTGGCATGCCGGTATTGGCTTGCAGTATTGGCACAGTACAGAATTTAATCCATATATCAGTACTGAACCAATACTGGTAAGCCAACTATCGGACAGCCAGTATTGGTGCATGATTACGCCTGTTGTCAATATCGGCGATTGACAGAAATTTTTGCTTGGCTAGTGTAGGTAACAATAATAATAATATAAAATAATTTTATATATATTATAATACAGAACAATTGCGTATACTCAAGTAAGTTTGATTGCCAAACTTGAAGTTAATAGAAAAAAAAAAAAAAAAAAATAGGAAGAACTAATTGCATGTTTATAATTCTTGAGACGAGTTAAATTTCGATCTTGTGTATATAGTTAAAATACTGTTTTTTCCCTCCAAGCAATCATAATTCCCGAAATAGATGTTTTTCGAGAAAAAAGTTAGCACCTAACTTAAATGTTTGTCTTATCTAGTTTAGTTGTGGAAAACTTTTTGCTTTCTTCTTATAAAAATGGTACGCACTTTCTTTTTTTGTTGGTAGTTTTGAGTTTTTATCTCTAGCAAAATAGCAAATGGTGAATAAGCAATGACCTACATAAATTCTATCAAAATATTTCGGTCTATTTTTGAAAAATTTACTTTTTATTAAAAAAAAAAAAAAATATTATGCAATGAAATATAATAGAGATAGTGCAGGTTTAAGAGTTAAAGAGATGCTTTCAGATAAAGAAAGCAAATTAAATATTCATAAAGTGTATTGTATAAGGAGGCATGATTAAAATTGATGCAGAATCAAGACATTAGAATTGATCCGCAGCTATAGAGAATAGTCACTAATTTTAAATTCAATTCTCTTATGTAAAGTGAACATTATTCTCCTTTGAAATTTGAATAATATGCGAATATCAAACGAAATACAATATTCTATATTTACAAATAGCATATGTATATACGGATATTTTATTCTATAAATTAAAAATTATATATACTTTTACAAAAATTTTATCTCTTTAAAATTTTAGACTTTCAAAAATATATAAGTTTTCGTACTAGAATTGTAGTGTAAACAAATTTTTTTTTTTTTTTGGGCAATAATGTTTAAAGTTTGGTAGAATTAGATGTTTAAATTGCAATTGCAATAAATATGAGATAAAAAATGGAGTATCGAAAAATTTCATCAAGATAGAGTGCTTGGATAGATCTCGATAGTCCAATAAATGCCGTATAGAGAACTATTTCAGAGGTTCGAAATGAAAATTGAACGTGACACGTTTTCTCAGCATTTTGTAAAACATATGTATTACTTTTTGTATCGATATGTCTGTACAAAATTACATCCAATTTTCTTTTCTTTTTTTTTTGGATCATTTCTAATCCGACAATAGTGTGCAAGGGGGAAATAATTTATATATATATATATATACTAGGGGGGCTTCGCCCCCCTGCGCGCTTCGCGCGCCAACCCCCTATTTTTTATTTTTCATTGGTTTTGTAGATGTTTGAGTTAATGTTTAAATAATTTCTGGAATTTAAAACTATTATTAATATTTTATTATTTATTTCTTCAAATGTTATTTACGATTTTTATTAACAATAATTTTTATTATTTTTAATTTTTAAAACAAAATTTATCTAATTTTTTAAATTTTCCAGCTAAAATTTGACCTACATTTAAGGTTATGTTCGTTTTTTGGTAATTTTCCTTCAAAGTTTGACCTACATTTTGAAGTTATGTTTGTTTCTTTGTCTTTTTGCACCAAATTTTCGCCTAAATTTTGAGGTTATGTTTGTTTCTTGGTCGTTTCCCGACAAAATAACTTAACCTTAAAATTTATATCAATTTCGGCGGAAAATCCACCTCTCCTTCAACGTAAGGAAGGAGGGGGGGCTTGCGTCTATATTCACAGTCTTGAAACGAACATAACCTTTAAATTCAGGTCATTTTTGGCAGGAAATCTACCTCCACTTGCTATATTTAGAGGCTTGAAACGAACATAACTTCAAAATTTAGGTGATTTTTGGTGGGAAATACGGAGAGAGGGTAAGGGAGGGAGGAGGACTTGCGGCCCTATTCAGAGTCTTGTAACGAACGTAACCTTAAAATTTAGGTCATTTTTTGCGCGGAAGGGGGAGGAGAGGGGGGGACTTGCAGCTATATTCAGATGGGTCATTCCATATCAAATGTAACCAAATATTGTACTATCCATGTAAAAAACATGGGTTGGCTCACCCTTACCTAACCTTGTCAAAAACATGTGTTGGGTACACTTGACACGGAATGACCCATCCTTGTCAACATTTCTGAAATAGCGGCGGCGGCGAAATCTTTTTATAATATGGGTCATTCTACATGAAGTGTAACCAACCCATGTTTTTGATATGGTTAGTAGTTTTTGACGGAGGAGGGGAAATGAGAGGAGGGAGGGGGGACTTGGGCTATATTTAGAGCCTCGAAACGAACATAACCTCAAAATTTAGGTCATTTCTGGCGGGGAGGGGAAAGGAGGGGGGATATCCCCCCTCCTAGGTCAAAATTTGCTGAAACAGCGGCGGCGGCGGCGAAATCTTTTTATAATATAGAAAGATATATATATATATACTCGGAGAGAAATTTCTACGAATATTCACCGTGCTGCCACCTGAAAGTAAGTGGAAAGTGAATTCTGGCAATTTTTACTATGATGCCTCTACAATCTTTAATGGGGCGCATGATTATTCTATAAAAATCATTAGTTAGAATTTTCATTTTCAACAATTTTATTATAGATATTATTATTTTTCAGACGAATTTTCATTTTTTGAATTAACGTTTGTCAAAATTTATTTTTTTAAAGAATTTTTAGGCAACGAATTTTCATTTTTAAAGGGCAGAATTTCTTTTTGTCCGAAATTGCAAATGACAGAATAAATAAATCAACAGAAGGATTTTCGGAAAATCGTGATTGATGGAATTTAAAAATCGCGCCGAAATCTTTCTATTTGATGTTGTTTGTTCGGCAATTTGCAATTTCGGACAAACAAAAATTCGGCGTTTTAAGGATTCTAATAAAAATTCGGTGCCTAACAATTCTGTTTAATTAAAAATTCTTTATAAAAGAAATTCTGACTAATGTTAATTAGAAAAATAAAAATTTATCTAAAAAATAATTATATCTAATAAAATTCTTTAAAATAAAAATTTTAACTAATAATTTTTATAGGATAATCATGCGTACCTTTTGTAATGCAAAATTGTAGAGGCAGCACAGTAAAAATTAACAGAATTCAGTTTGCACTTATTTTCAGATGGCAGCACAGTAAATATTCTTAGAAATTTCTCTCCGTGTAAAGAAATTTAATTCGATTTAAAAAGTAAACTTATTTTTATGGAATCGCACATATTATTTGAATAAATAAATTTACATTTCAAAATCCTGCAAAGAAGCTTAATAATTCACATAATCAACTAACCAATCAAAATATTAAACAAAATCTCAATGTTAATATCACAAAAAGTTCTTCGTTTAATCCTTTTGTGACGCTTTCTGAATTTTTTTTTTTTTTAATTTGCTTAAATGTTTAATGTACCGTCCAAAGGGAAATTTGCAGTTGCACTTTAAGGGAATAAAGGTTGAAAAAAAGTAATGTATGCAAAAGCGATTTAGATTAGTATGCTCAGCGTTAGGGGTTTTAACTCACTTTTAGAAGTTCTTTTACTCTCTTTCTCTCTCTCTCTCTCTAATTTAAAAAAAAGAGAGACAACGCATCGAGAAAACGTGCGTGACAGACACGATGTGGATGCTCGCTTTTTATAAAACGTGCCAAGAATGTTAAAATGACAAATAAATCGACAAAAAAAAAAAAAAATATGTGTTAATCATCATCCTGTCACTTTACTATATATGTATATACCCTTTAAGTAACGTGATCATTAATAATTCTATAAAAATTTCTAGACTATAAAATTTTCGATACATTAATAAAGGTAACATAATCTTAAAAATTGATTTTTAATGTATTGTATAGTAATTTAAGTCCATTGTTCACTAGTACCGTCAACTGGGGTAATTATACCCAGAAAACGCTATTTTTTTCAATTAACTCGTCATTAAAATATTCAGAATTAAAAAATTTCTTTTAACTATTCCGTGATGTTGTAGATATTCATTTAAAGAGTTCTTATATATTTGGCATTAAAAAAAAAAATATTTTTTGCCGCAGTTATACAGAAACTTATGGTTGTGGTATAATAGCCCCACTCATGTGGTTGGGGCTATTATACCCACCAAAGTATCTTATAATTAGGTACCTTTCTAACTTGTTATATATAGTGTATGTAATAAATATTATTATTATTATTATTATTAGTGCTACTTACAGCCATTAATATTGGAGCAAAGACAATTAAAGAGATGGCCCATAAGACAACAATAATTATTATTGTACTTTTTTTATTGAGTATCCTTCGAAACGCAATTGGACTTCTGATTGCTAAGTACCTGTCAATACTCATAGCAGTGATAGTAAAAACTGAAGCAGCCACTGCAACACCTGAAAAATAATGAATATTCATTTTTATTAAAAAAAAAAAAAAAAACAAAACAATATATAATATAGGGTCAGCCGGGGTAAATGCGAACGCTTTTAGTAAGTTTCAACAATAACATAAGTTTTTTTCTTTTAAAAGACAATACTTCCGGTATTCTGGTGCATGAAGTTGTTACTTTACTTCCATAGAACAATTTTATGGGGTAGCAAAAATTTTTGATAAATTACAATCGCAGGAAACTTAGCGTTCGTATTTACCTCGATAATTTGCAACTTTTCTAAAATACCGGGGTAAATACGAACGCCACTGTATTTCAGAAAAATCTTAGGGAAAATAAATTTAAAGTATTGCAATTGTTAAACTTATATAAAAACTCAAAAAAAATACGATAATAAACCTATTATGTAATAATGCATCATATATAAATACAAAAATCAAACAGGTTAAAAATTAAAATGCATTACACAATTAAAACCTTCAATAACTTTATCAAATCATAACGGATTTTTGTAAAACTTGCTACAGAAAGTATTTTGGAGTGATTGAATGTAAATACAAAAATAAAAGTCAAATTTTTTTAATTCAATATGGCGGATTCAATATGGCGGACTTTCCTAAAACTTATTTTTAAAAATGATCAAATTTGCTCACTCCAAATTCGTAATCAACGACCCTGAAACCCCCCGTGTAACAATGTTCGAGCGAATCCAATGAATTTTTTAATTCTCGTCCGCCATATTGGATCCGCCATTTTTAATTTTGAAAAACTGACTTCAAATTGGTAATCAGCGACCCCAAAAACCCTAGAATACCAAATTTTATTAAGATCCTGAAAAACTTTTTTCAACAAACCATTTGGCAAAAAAAGTGGAACACTCCTTCGAAAGAACAGAGATTAAGTTTCTGCTTATTAATTACTAACGAGGATACATATAGAAAGAAAAACTTTTTTTTATGTACTTTTATAATGTTAAAATAATAGTGTAATCAAATAAAAACAATTTTTGATATCAGAAAAAATTATTGAAAATACCGTTCGGATTTACCCCGGTTTTCCAATTTTCTAGGGTAAATACGAACGGTCTGATATTATTAATAAAATTTTACAGAAGGCAAAAATGAAAAATAGTTTCTGTTCTAGTATTCATAACAAATAATTATAAATAATAAAACGAATTTTTAGCTTCTTTTTCTTGAAATACGAGACAAAATACTGAAAGAGTGTCATCTTTGATTTTCAATCTTTTTTGCAATACTCGTTATCTTTGTTTATGCTGTTGCTAATTAACAAACTAAAAATGGGATAATACTTAGAATCTCTTGAAGAGGATCTGAGGTAAAAATTCTCATGACTAACTTATTTTTTTAAAATTTTAATTAAGCTGAAATAATTAGCGTTCGAATTTACCCCGTCTGACCCTAAATTAACAATACCATGTGAATAACAATACACGTTTATAATTATAAAAAATTAATTATAAAAATTGAAAACAATATATTCTACTATACTTCAAAGTAAGAGTTAAAAGGGAGAAATTTTAATATACTCATATTTATGATTCACTGATTCGACAAAAGGTATTATAAGATCAAAGAAAGACTGAGTTATTGAAGCTGAAGAAAAACAAATACTTTTAATTAACATTTTTATTTTTATTTGAAGATCATTTTCTTGCTTGTTAAAAGCAGATTTTCCACTTATAAAGAGATGACATAGGCAATGAAAGAATTTTTGAAGTGAAATAATTGAATTATTGACCTTTTTAATTTAACATCATGATATTAATTTTGAAAATTAGAATTATTTTGACTATAAAAGTTGAAAAAAAAAATTTTTTAAATAATTTTCCATAGACTTCGACCATTTTTAAAATATTTCTGTAGATTTTTGGTACCAAATTGTAAAATGTCATTTTCATAATGATTTAAAAGTTATTTAATTTACATAAAAATAATGCAAGTCAAATTGGGGTTAGCGCCGCGAACTTATAATTTCTATGGAAAATTGATTAAAAATTTTTTTTCAACTTTTATAGTAAAAATAATTTCAATCTTCAAAATTAATATCATGATGTTAAACGACATTAAATTTACCACAAAATTCACAACTATTTTCCTTTTTTTAATGAATTTTTTAATAAAATTGTAATATTTAAAAGGAATATTGAAAAATAAATTAAGATTGAGGTTGTCCGCTTCACGTAGAATGCCCCACATAATTTTTTATTAATAATTTCACAGTGGACACTATTGCTCATAAGACGACCTGAAAATGTCTTTTTGTGGACGTTCTTTGGACTTTGGCAAAAAACGTCATTAATACGTCTTAGATACGTTCTATAAAGGTCCATTTTTAGGTTAGGATGTCATAATTATTTCTCTCAACATCAAAGCATCAAAAATTAAAATTCTTTTGAAATAATGTTAAAATATGAGTAAATCGGTAAAGGAAAATTATATAAAACATACTAGAGTATAATTCTATCTGTTTTTTTTTCTAATTTAGGTATAATTAGACAATCATTTTTTTCGCCTTGAAATTTTTTTTTTAATCCTACTACATGCAAATTAAAGTAAAAAGGACGAATTTTTTAAATTCAGTTTTTAATTAATTAAAATCAAAAATTATTTATAAATAATTAAAATAATTACTAATACAAAGGAAAATCTTAAATACAACACGAAAAAATAAAAGAGCATTAGTAAATTACAAAAAAATAAACTATTATACAATATGCTGAAGTACGCAACGTTTATAATAAACGATTTTTAAAGACATAATTTTTTGCCTGAAAAATATTTCTTGTAGTTTTTATTAATCAACAAATTATAAAAAAATATTTTTTTAGATAAACAATTTTATAATTTTCCGTGTTAAATAAAGATTGATTTTTAATCGCATCGTAACTTATTATACTGATATACGCACATTAGGAAAAAAAATTTGCTCAGCACATTTATTATTAATTTTTGTACAAATTAACTATAAATATTTTTATGACTAATTAGAATTTTTTTTTTAAAAGAAATAGCATTTTTTTATTTGCGGATTATAAGAAATAATTTAATTAAAACGAATTATTTCATTTCTCTTAAAGCTATTTCTACCGTGTAATTTTTTCTCTGACTTTTTCTGTGCAACATCACGTCGCGCCAGTTACGTCATGCACGCATTCCTTTTTTTTCATATATAGGTATCATATTTTCTCTTGTCGTAAAATTTTTGAAACTTAATTTTCTTAATTAAGATTTATAGTAGTTTAAAAAAAATACCTAAATGAGTTTTTATTTTCATCGAAAATTCCATTACAAATACCACTAAGGGAATAACACAATATGGGTACACGCATATATAGTCAATTAGAAAGCACATTTTTCTATTTTATGTATAAAAGTTTTCAACTTTTAGTGAAATTTATTGGCAAATAAAAGTCACAAAATAAATATTGTTGATAACCGTCTTTAAGAATCAAACTAAATATCATTGTTGTGTTATAAAAAAATTAATTGATAATATATAGTTGATGACGATTTTTAAGTAATCTGAGGCGCATGATTATCCCATAAAAATTATTAGTTAGAATTTTTATTTTAAAAAAATTTATTTATAATTTTTTTCAGACGAATTTTTGAATTAGTACTCGGCAGAATTTCCTTTTAAACGAATTTTTACTTAACATAATTCTTATATACTAGAGGGGCTACGACCCCCTGCGCGCTTCGCGCGCCAACCCCCCTGTTTTAATCATTTTTTTTTAATTTTCCATTGATCTTATTTTTCCAAATGAACCACCTATTTCAAAGAATTATTATTACAAATTCATTGAAATCTGAATAAATATTATTAAAATTAAAATTATTAAATTAATTAAATTAATAATAAATAAATAATTAAATTAATTAAAATCGACATAAAGAAATTATTTTTAAAAATAATTTCAATGAAATTGCCTAAAAACCAATAAATTATTAAAAAGTCTTGAAACGAACATAACCTTTAAATTCAAGTCATTTTTGGCGGGAACTCCACCTCCACTTGCGGCTATATTGAAAGTCTTGAAATTTACATAACCTTAAAATTTATGTCATTTTTGGCGGGAAATACAGAGAGAGATGAGGGAAGGGAGAAGGACTTACTGCTTTATTAGGGTCTTAAAACACACATAACCTCAAAATTTAGGTCATTTTTGGCGGAGGAGGGGAAATGAGAGGAGGGAGGGGGGACTTGCGGCTATATTCAGAGCCTTGAAACGAACATAACCTCAAAATTTAGGTCATTTCTGGCGGGGGAGGGGAGGGGACTTGCGGCTATATTCAGAGTCTTGAAACGAACATAACCTTAAAATTTAGGCCATTTTGGCGGAGGAGGGGAAATGAGAGGAGGGAGGGGGGACTTGCGGCTATATTCAGAGACTTGAAACGAACATAACCTCAAAATTTAGGAGGGGGACTCCCCCCTCCTAGGTCAAGAATTCTTGAAACAGCGGGCGGCGGCGATATCTTTTTGTAATATAGGAAGATATATCGTCACCTTAATCGGCAAACCTGGTTACTCCATTTCATGCAACTTTACAGAAGAGCAAAAACACTGTTTATAAACAATAAATAGTGTATTTAGGCAAATGTATCAATTTCATTAGATATTAAAAGACTCCTTTTGCATATTTATATATGAAAATCTTAATCTTTACTCTTTTTACAACTGCTTATTCTTTTAATTTTAGGAGTTACGAGGTAAATACTTTATTACTTAGAAATTATAATTTATTTGCTATTCTCAATATATAGTTACTTTATACTAATGACATAACCTCAAAACTAAAATTCTTAAATTTTAAAGGAAAGTTAAAAACTTTTTATCTTTATGAAATTAGTGAATTAAAAGAATAAAAACTTTACTCAAATTATATAAACAATTATTTATTTAAATTAATTTTATTTTAATTATATACCCATATGGCACAATGAACATTTCTACTTCGTATGTAAATGTTAGTCATGA